ATTAGGGTAAATTTTGAACATTAACAAAGGAGGATCATTTGACTAGGTAAATATTGTTTTCTTTCTACGATACACTTGCACTTTCTCGAGAGGAGGATCATTTAACTAGGGAAATATTATTATTATGTGCCTGCATAACGAGTTTGTGGTGGAGGCTGTGCTAATCTTCTAATTCAGAGTTGCTTGGTTTGTTGGTTGCAGGTTTTGTATGGGCACGCCATCCATTCATGTGTTTTCTCTATTCATGCGTTTTTACAGTGTTGCGATTCAAAAAGGCTCTTAGAAAGCTAATGTGCCTGGCTGCCTGCATATGAAGCTTGAAGAACTGATGTGCCTCCTACATTATGAAGCGACTGTTGCCCAACTAGAGGAAACGAGTTCAATAAGCAATGGTTTAGTTTGGGATCTCTAGCAGCCTCAGAACTTGCTGCATCATAGTTGTACCGTGTCTCCCACACCTGAACTGTGCCTACTCTCACTTGATGTTTATCTAAGAAATTTAGCACCTGACATTAATCGTAGCCTTCATTCTTTCATATATGGTAGCATAGCATTAATCCTAACCTTTGATTCTTTAATATATGGCAGCATCGGGGTTATTTCCTAATTAGTTCAACAAGTCTAACTTTCATAATTTGGTTGCTTCCATTGATGAAACTGAAATTGTACTACCATTCTTTGAGAAGTTGTTAGCTAATTTTTTTTTAAAGAAATATGGATGTGAATTATTTTACACTAACTTGTAAGCCATCCTGGGCGTTTGGGTACCCTAACCCGCTACCCTAACCCGAATCAAATTACGAGAATTGTCGCGTAATTCGGGTGGGTTAGGGTTCGGTTCTCATTCGGGTAGCGGGTTAGGGTATCAGGATAAGGTATTGCCTATTATATGTGGTTATATATTTATGCACGGGACGTGGTGCTTCTAGCCGCATTTGTTCTGTGTGGTCAGGTAGAACAATGTGCAATACGAAAAATAACAAATCTTGTTCTACAATAACTTACATCATAGTTCTTATATCTGCAGTTATTTAATTATGCACACATGACAAGATGATTTTAGGTCTCATTCGTTCTATGTTGTCAGGTCAAGCAATATGTAGTTCAAAAATTAACAAAGCAGTGGTCGCCCCCTATGTTACCAAAGATGTGTGTGACCATACAAAATAAATTGAAAATGTACGACTAAAACCCGACATTAATGTAAGTGTAAGAAAGTGTACTTACCTCCTATCACTGTTTATTGAATTTTATTCTTTTTGTATAGTTCATTGACTAATAATTTTGTAGTGATAAGATAATCTTATTAATACTTTGGTTCAGTTGAACTAACAAAACTCACGATTAAAGGGAGGTATTAAAAGGAGAAGTTTATGCAGAAAGAATGCCCTCACATATGAAAGAAATATAGTATCTTATCTTCATTCCTGTCATTCGCTAGGATCACATCCAGTAAGTAAAAATCATACAGACCATACAGCAGTCTAATAAAGCTTATTTGGATTCTTGATATTCTAATAGTTTAGAAATGGTTATGTAAGATACTATGTTCATGGTCGTTCGTATTTTTACAATCAGCCTCCTTTTACATTCATGCAATTATTTGCTCATGGCTTCTACTGTCCCTCCTATTTTGAATGTTGTCTTCTTTTCGAATCTGGCTCCTATTTGATACCAGCCATGTTATAAACATTGTCAATAGAGTCTTCCAAATTTGCATCATTTGCACTTAATAGACTTTTTTCCCTGGTGCATAGACAGACAATAAGACCTCAAAAAAATTGAACAACTAGAAACATCCAGAGGAAATTTTATGTTGTGTTTCTGTTTCTCGGTTAAAAAAGTGACAACCTTGAGACAACCTTTATATGTCACATAGGTGCTGACAGTTTTGTGCTTCATATGTATGTGCTTATTTAATCTTAGCTCACTCATTGCCCGGACTTATCCATCTGATTCATGAGTTTCTTAACCATTAAAAAATTCAGGTAGACAT